AAGAACTGACAACTTAAAGATAGCGAGTCTTTGCATCCACGTCATTCAATTCTCTACTTATGTCTTTTTTATATTTCTACAGTGTTATAATGTTCTCCATAAAGTTTTACACGTATTTGTACGTTTTCCTAAGTATCTCATATTTTTGTTGCAAGTGTAAATAATAAATTATATTTTATAGTCAACTAAGAATTTTTATCATGATTATGGTGTTGAATGTATCAAGTGCTTTTTTTCTGTAGCTATTGAGACGATCAAGTATTTCCTCTATTTTAATCTATGCATTACATTAACTTTGCATTACTGGAATGAACCCAACTTAATCCTATGACTTAAAAAAATATTTTTTGCTAGATTTGGCTTGGTAATATTAGTATCTATATTCATAAGTGAGATTAGCCTATAACTTTTCTTCAGCATACTATCCTTGTCTGTTTTGGTATTAAGGTCATATCTTACTAAATAAATAGACTCATAACATTAGTCACAACTATTCTTTTTCTAGTCTTTGGAACATTTTATATAAAATTTGAGTTATCTGTTTCTTAAAATTATCTGGCCTTGTGATTTCTCTGAGTAGACTGTGGTAGTTTTATTAAGATATATTTTCTAAGAAATTCCATGTCATTGAAGCTTTCAAATTTATTGGTATGTTTTCATGTAATTTTCTTACTATTTTGCAATCTGTGCTGTATTTATACTTATACTTCCTTTTTAATTAACATATTGTGTCTTTATGCATTTTTAAAATCAATCTTGCTGGAAATTCATTAATAATTTTGTATTTTCTAATATAAGCACTTAAAGCTGGAAATTTTTCTGTTAAGTATCACTTTAGCTGCATCCCATAAGTTTTAATATATAGCATTTTATTATCGTTCAGTTCTAAATAGTTAATATCTTTTATCATATATATCTCAAAATAGATTTATTCATAATTTATAATATATAGAGTTTCTCAAACTTCACTGTGCTAGTTAAAAATATAGATTTCTGTGCTTTACTCAGAGGCTTTGATTTAGTAGATGTGGGGCTGAACCCAGGAATTTGCATTTATATATATGTAAATACCCAGGTGATTTTGATTAGGATCATATGTTGAGAAACAATGATCTAGAATGGCCGTGTCCAATGCCAATGGGAAACTGAATTTCTAATTTAAAATTTTTAAAAATTAATTTAAAATTTAAATAGTCACATGTGGCTGCTGTCTACCATATTGGACAGTGCAAAAATAGGAGGTCTTTATTAAGACCTTAGTTATTTTTAATGGCAATAATTTATTTTAATACATAGCCCATAATCATAACATTTATAATAAGGTAATAAAAACATGTGCCAAAATTAGACTAAAGAAAATTTGTTGCACATTCTGTTCAGCATAATTCCACAAATCTTTCATATGATGAACAGTAATATTTTTAGAAGCATGTAGGAGTGAAGAAGCTGTGAAAGTAAGAATATATTCTTTCTTACATTAAAGCTACTAGATCTTTAAAAAAAAACACTACAAAGGAAATCATCTTAGGATTTCCTTCATCTTCAATGTCTAGAAAAAGTAACTTAAGATTTTAAAAAATAGTTATAAGGATAAAAATTTGAAATGTTCACATACGCTTGCTTTTAATTTTATACCCAAGCAGACTCACTGATGGAGTAGTTCTGAAATCTTTTCAGTTCTAAAGCTTAATTATACATTTCAAAATTCACTACAGCCTATCTCACAAAAGGAAGACTAGGCTGTTCTACGTCACAAGGAAATTTACTGCCAGAACAGACAGGGACCTTGCAAAGGCTATAGTCAAACATGATAAGGAAATGAATAAGACCCAGTTTTCCCCTTTCTTCTAATTTGTATATGACTTCTTATTTATGAAGTATTATTATGGAAATTTATTGCTTATAATATTAAGGAACGTATATCACCTGAAGTCTTTTGGCTCTGCAAATAACACACAAGGGATATGTTTTAATGTTAGAGAAAGAAACAACTTAAATGGGAACCCAAAATATGGATTATACAGAATTATATGTACATGTATATATGCCAGATATTTATAGTTCTTTCCTAAATGAAAAGCACATATGCATACATTACATAATTCGATTTTTTAAATTCCTGATACTTTATGTGGCCTTTACAATCTGACATTGTTTCCCATGACCTTGCTTTCATTCTGCATATTACAATCACAAATTATTTAGGAAAAAGAATGGGTAAGCAGGTGAATGGGAAAGGATATGAGTAGACAGGACAGAAGGTGAAGGATAAATTTATTATGATCTGTGTATTAGATAAATTATTGTAATTCAAAACAACTAACACTTATTTAAAGATACCTAACAAATAAGATAACACTAGGTATAAAAACTAAGTTGGTTTTACCAGTAGAGATGGAGGTTCAAGGTTCAAGAAAAGTTATGTGAAACTTAAGTGTGGGAGAAGGTGCCTATAACTTATGCAGAGAGACAAAGAGGCATGCAATAGTAGGGTGAGGAAGGGAATGACTTAATGAAAAGAATAAGTCAGCTGACAGTAACCCAAAATAGCAGGAAAATAAATGGATTATTATTCAATAATGAATCACTTGGTTTTGTATTGGAATGATTCTGTTCTTAATTTTCCTATACAACTTTCCGATTGTTTTTCAGCTTTTCATCTAACTAGTTACCCTCTCAGCACACTTAACTGGTCAAAAATAGGTACCAGTAGGAGTCCTTTTGAATAAAACTACCCACATTTCAGCATCACTAGAGCATCATTTTGTTTCTCCTTTAATCAAAATTTCTAAAAACTCAGAAGCTGTCATTTTATTAACCACAGCAGACAGATTTGCCTCTCATTTATACACATAACCTATTGTGATTGCACTTGGGAGAAATGCTTCCATGATGAAGAGGCTCTTAAGCTGACTCAGGGATGTCAGGTTGCCATCTTGAAATGGGTTTTTTGCTAATTTCCTTGGTATGGTAATTCTTATGGTAACTTGCATGGCAATACTTTGGAATATATTTGATCCCTAAGAAAGTTTTTAAAAAACCATTAAATAAGAAACCAATCTTATAAGCTGGTTATATCCTTTTCTTCACCACATAATGTTCAAGCGAAATAAAAGTGAGGCATTGTCTGTGGATATCATAGCAGACATCGCACAATGCTAAACTACTCGGTCTTCTCTCTCTAGGCAAAGGCCCGTCTGCTGCCCCTGAAGCACAAAGCACTCCATATCTAACAAATCTATCACTCTTAATCAAGAACATTCTTTTTCTTCCTGTCAGGCAAATCAGATCATCTCTAGGTATGGCCTTTCCTGATTACAGAAATAGTAAAAATTGATGTCTTATCCTAAGGACACCTCAGGGCCTCCACTGCTGCTGAATTTTACTTATTATCTCTTCTATTTTTATCACAAGCTCCTTTAGGAGTCAGGATTTAGTTTGTGATTCAAAGGTTTTGGCCACTACCTGGGGTCATAGCTTTAGCTACCATTTACTAGGTGTGTGCCCTTGTGCAAGTTAAAGATCCTTCCTGTGCCTACATTATCTATGAAAAGTAAAAAATAAAGAGTACTTATAGCATTGTGAAGAATAAATCATATATACAGCACCTGGGCAGAATAGTGGTTGCCACTGGCAGAGGGAGGGGGATGGGTGTGGAGTGATAAGGTCAGAATTAACTGGAAGGGAAACAAGGAACTTCTTGGGATGACAATAATGTTCTATATTTGATAAGGACTTGGATAACACAGACCTATGCATTTGTTAAAAACTCAGTGAATGTATACTTAAAATTTGTGCATTTCACTTTATAAATTTTAACTCAAAGGAAAACTAGACAAATAGTTAACTCTACTTAAATGAAATACATGCTGAAATATTTAGGGGAAAGTATGGCTGATGTTTGCAGTTTACCTTGAAATGCATCAAAAAATAAGACATTGATGGATGGATAGAGGGTGGAGAAATGGACATATGATAAAAGTAGAGTAAAATGTTAATGGTAGAATCTTAGTGATGGGTAAATCAGTGATCACCATAAAATTCTTTCAACTTGGCTATGTGTTTGAAAAATTTCACAATAAAATGTTAGAAAAAAATAAACCACCCTGGTACAGAGTAAGCACTAGTCAATGATAGCAAATAACTATTTCTGGCTGAAGAGGGATGAATAGGAGGTCAAGGAGGGAAGGAAACTGCTACTTTTCCCATAAACCTTTCATTCCAAATTATGCTTTAAATTTTTAAAAAACAGCTCTTTGGCATCCGTATATAAAAAGCAATTACTTTCATTTCTTTTATTACTTTCTGGAAAAAGAAAACCAGATTAACAACACGTGATTCAGGTAGTTACAGTTAATAAAGATGACAGACATAGGGAAAGCAACTACTAGAATAGAGTAAGTAGAAAGGGAGAAGATAAAAAGCAAATATAATTTTACTGTATGACACATCTTCCTCAAATAGTTTTCTATTTATTGAATACCTGTAATGATGCACTATAAAAAAAAAAATCCAGCTTCCTACACATTACCCAAAAGGTACTGTTAACAGATGCAGATTTCAGTGCTGAATATGCTTCAATTTGTCACATCTGATGAGGGGATATCAAATTATCAGATGATTTTATTTTATATAGCCCAGATTTAAATCATGAACTATAGGAGGAGGTGATTAAAAAGACACCCAAATACATGTTGAACTCCAAAAGGTTAGTTAACTTAGGAACTGCAACTTATCTACCTAACGGGGCTAAGCAATGCTTACAGCAAGAGACAGAGGTACAACAGGAAAAGGAAAGGGACAGGGAAGCTGGACGTAAGGTGGTAAGGACTCCTAGGAATTAACTTCAGGTTTCAGAATAATTGTTGGCACTTCTCCCAGCCTTTGTAGCTGGGTAAGATATTAAATATTGGCTTAAGTAGGTATTGATAAGAAAACCTGAAACACTCCTTATGCATTTTGAATATACTCACAGTTTCTTTTTCAAAAAATTCACTTACTTGGTTGTCATTTTCATTATCTTTGATAACCAAATACCTCAATAAATTTAATGAAGCCATTATCCTGTTAATTAAAAATATATAATTTGTTACTACAATTTTATATAATCAACAGCAATTTCAATGAATAAAAAGTAAGTTAAAACCTTACAATTATGTTTGCCATTAGAAACTATTCCCTTTAAATTTTGGAGTAGAATTTAATCACTCTTGGTCTCCAAGTTCACAAAATACAATTGTGAAAATTACTATTTTTTCCCCCAAGGGAGCTTTGTTATCTTAATATTTGAGAGTATCATCTCTTGCTTCCTGACTTTTCAGATTCCTTTAATAAATGCTTAGAACCATTTCTAAACAACCATTTTAGTATACTGAAAGTAAAATTACATGTTCTATGTGAAAAAAAATGATGTCCTAGAAAACAAAACAATAAAGTTCAAACACATAAGCCTTTTATAAGTTACATATATGAAATTCTTAGTTTTTAGTCACCAATGCTGTAGAGTAAAGGTACAAAATCATACTGTGGGTCATACTTCTAGAAAGAAGAGTTTCTTATTTTGTTTTTACACAGTATCTAATTACTTAAATATGAAAATCTTTATGTAATTTTATGAATTAACCACAGATCATAAATTCACAGGAAAACATGTTTTATTAGTTTAGGTTCCCTAAGCAAGGGTTTCACATTTTATTCTGAATTTACTATGTGAACCTTAGTAATGGTCACCTCACCTATCTGAGTTTTGCAGTAGGTCTGTTTCAGCACCCTCTGGGAGAAAGAGTACCAAATCTAGAAGGGAAATCAACTGTGGTCCTGTAAACCATTTGTTGTTATGCGTTCTCTAAAAAGCAAAAGAAAAATTGGAAAAGGCTTTAAATAATAGCTTGATAAATTCATGTGTTTCTCTAGTACCCTGATACTACAAAAATAAACTATTACAACACATTTTAAATACACTTTTAAATTTTAATTTCCATTCTTGCATTCACTATTTCCAGACACCTGGAACAAACCCTGCCAGTTTGAGAACACTGGTGCACTCTTTCTCTGTCTCTGTTTTCTATATGGAATTACTGAGTATTCACAAACAAATTAGACTTCAGTTTCCATTAATATTTTAGAAGTACATAGCAAAACAAAAAGAAGTCATATTATTGCTCAAAAAATTAATACAATGTAAATCTACAGTTAACAAAACTTCAAATTCAGGTTTTTAAAAAAGAAATAGTAGAAATGGGGAAAAAAGGACCCTAATACTAGAGATAGACAAGTCCACATGGCAAAAATCCACATTAATGTATTCCACAAATGAATAAATATATCCTACAAAATAGATAATTGACACCTTAGCTATGCTCTTACCTTTAATGATATGTCAATTTGATTTTTGATATTTTGAATAATAAAGGCCTCCACACCTGAGTGATTACTTGTATTCAATAAGCACCTTGAAAGCAAAATTACAATACATTTGAAATTATCCTGGACTGCATTATAATTAAATGATGATGAAAGTTTTACAAATTCAAATGGGCCATGTGTTTTCTTAATATAAAAACCAGCGAAGACAATTAGTAAGGTGATCAACCAATTACAAAGGTGAAAAACCAATTACCTATTATGGTTATTGCTCTCAGTAGCTGGCAAATGCTATTTTATCTGGATCTTTCCAAAAAGAAATTTCTATTAAACCAAATTTGAATCTTTTTATGCATACAGTTGCAATGATTTAACATGGCAAATATGGGCACTATTATAGTAGCCTAAAAACTCCCAAAATTACTCCGTGTAAATAGACTAGTCTGGTTAGACTAACTTAATGGAAAAGAAAAGAAACTCAATATGACTAGCTTAAGGAAAAAGGGGGACTTCTTGGTAGAGATACAGGTAGATCAGAACAGTAAAGCTGGTATAAGACTTAAGCATCAAACTGAGAATTCATAAACCTGCTCTGACTCTATCAGTAGAAAAGAAGAAAAGTAGGCTCCAGAGTGCTAATACTGGCCAATCCCAAAGAAGACTTCTTAGCACTTTAACAATGCCCAAATCTGTTTTTAACTCATTGTTATTACCTAGGTGTCAACAAACTAAGGTCTGCAGGCCAAATTCAGCCTGTTGCCTGTTTTGTTTTATTGGATACACCCACCCCCACTACAAAGACAAGTTGAGCAGTTGCAAAAGAGACTATGTGGCCCATAAAGCCTATATTTACTATTTGGCCCTTTACAGAAAGTTTGCTGATCTTCAACTCTTCGAGTTGCTAGAATCCTTTCTCTCTCAAAGAGCACTATTAACAAGCTATACTATTAACTTAAAGTGAATAGCCTGTCAAAGTTATAACTCCAGAGCCATTAATTTCAACTGTGAATGGAGATTACTGACAAGTAAATAATCTAGCAGGAGGTTTATCAAACTCAGTTTAATCTTTTAAGTCTATTTTAATTTTAGAGTATTTCAATTAATTGAATTGAAATATATACTATTATTCATGTAATATATATATGTACATATACGTATCCATAATATTTGATTAACCTTTCTCTACCCATCACAGATAAGAGAATTTATTATAATATGGCTTCCAAGTAGAGTTGAATTACATGTAGAACACACTGAAATACTATAATCTGGAATAATAAATGGTATTAATTTGGTTTTTAATCAGCCACACACTTTGCAATTAACCATTCTTGATACATACCTAAATAATGTATATTTTCCTTGTGAATCCAACTTGTTAATATACAGCTGAAGCATAGCTAAACTCTTTTTCCTCTAAAATGGAACAAATAATATTGTTACATAAACTGAATAAAGATTAAATTATTTATTAAAATTTCTCACTGTAACTCATTATCATTTAGTCCCAAAACATTTACATACCAATGTCTCAATGGGGCAAAGTGTCATTATTTTGACTAAGCCCTGGAAATAAAAAAAATTTTAATTCAGATGTTAATAGATTATACTGACTGCAAACAAACAGCTATATTATCAATGGTGGATACTAAAAATTCAGAGAAGTGAGGGTAGGAGATTTAAAAATGAAGTAAATTTTTCTCTGAGCTTTTCATTCCACTATGTCTCCAGAAGCAAAGTACAATCCATTACATAAGTGATATTGAGTAGTGTGTTACAGAGTGTAAATTTAGAAGTGAATGGTAAAATTTAGAAGTGAATGGTAATTTTTAATTATGTCTAGAGTGGCAAAAAAATGAAACCAAACATGCAGAAATATAATCCATTCATTAAAAATAATGAGGTTTAATACCCTAACAAAAGCCATGTTTTTCTATTTAAATAGTGGAAAAACAAGTTTCTACATGGACATCTAAGGACCTACTTGGCCATGATAACTAACAAACAGTACTAGGCAAAATAAGTCATAGGAGGGAAAAACCAAATGTCTTTCTAGTAATGAGTCAGTGCATGCCTTGATGGAGTCCTGAGGACTTGCGTTATGATAAAAGTAAAGGAGCTCCATTTTCCAAGGTCCCTACAGAAACAAATCGTTAAAGAAGAAAGTTATGTTTTTCCATTAGATGCTATGCTGTCAACCATGGTAGCCACTAGCCACATACAGTTATTTAGGTTTAAATTAATTTAAATAAAATTTAAAATTCAGTTCCTTAGTCACACTAGCCACATTTCAAGTGTTCAGTGTGGCTAGTGGCTTTCATCCTGTACTGCACAGATAAGAGAACACTTCCACAATCACAGAAAGTTCTATTGGACAGCATGGCACTAGAGTTTTCAAAAGATATGGAGAAGAGAGTAGGAGAGGAGTCTGAAAAGACCTTTACTTAAGTTCAGAATAGGAAAGGAGCTGTTTTCAAGATCAGAATACATATTTTACTTACCTGAGGTACAGTAAGAAAACTCTTGATTTCTAAGTACTGGTGAAGTAGACTGTTATCTTCTATTCTCAATAATCCATTCTCCAACAGATCCTACAGATTAAAATATACGCAGAGATACATATATGGTCAAGTCAACAGCTATATTTGTTGTCATGACTATGTATTTAAATTATACTGGGTAAAAACAAATCTTACCAATCCTTTGGAGAAAACAGACTCTTCTGTTCTGGAAGAGAACATTAAAATTTATCAATATGATTTTCTAAATTGCTTTAGAATTATTCTTCATTTTAGGAAAAATAAAGCAAAAACTGAAATTTAAAGACTTGAAAAATACACATCATTAAGGAAAAATTCTGCTGAAGAATTCAGTCAAAATTCTTAATCCATCTTTGATCTGTCTTTTGATTTGGTTACTGACATGCAAATATGACCAAAATTAGCCCACTCAGGGCTCATTCCTTGGTAGCAAATCAATAGATCTTCAACAGCAAGTGCTAAGAAATCACTTATACCTGATACAATACTATGTATTCCAGTTGATTATAAAATCTTTTAAATTTTTTATACAAAAAAAAGAATTAAATGCTTTCCATTTGTGATAATATATTTTTTTAAAGTTTACAGTCATTGTTAACTAAATATTTAAGATCTGTGGCAAAAAATATTATCTCAGGTTCTTATTCTAACCATACAAGGAGTTAAAATTGTTATGTTTTTGGCTCAATGACTAGTTTGGAAATCTTAAGAATACAGAACTTAAGATTCAAACCAATATATACTCTCATTGTATGAATATAACAGAAACTAAGTAAAAAGAATGTAAAATCATCAAGACATACATAGTACAGGAAATTTACAGAGTTAATAACTACTTGTGCCAGGAGACCCTTGGAAATTCCTGCCTTTTAGGCCGAGGCTTTGGACATTTGCCATGTTACAAATCTTCCTTCACCTGGGAAGAGATGGGATTGATAAACTGTCACTAATGTTCCTAAAGGACAGTACTAAAGGTCCTGACTGATCTCAAGAGATAATTTTAACACGTTATAGGAAAAGAAAGCATATAGTTTTGCAAAATTCTTATGTATCTGTCTGGAAAAATTATGCATACCTATTACTTTGTAATTTTTTTAAAAGAGAAAGTCTTGCTTCTTATTGCCTCAAATGAGAAAAGTTGTTGAATGATATCACTGTCAAATATCTAAGTTATAAAAGGTGGGATCAAGACACCTCTTTCCTTTTGATACAGTTCAGATTGTGTCCACAAGGCAAAAACCTGGATGACTTTCTTTTACTGATAACCCCTCCTTAGATGGAGGAGGTTGCAGGGGGATAGAGGTGTTTCAATTTACCAACTTTTGAAATAAGGGAAGAAACCTCAGAAGCAGATGAGTGGAAATTCTCTTAAAAGACAATATTTTAATATTATCTTGGGTTTAAAATAAAAGAGATTTTGCTGTAAAACCTCTGACTCATTTCTGTCTCTCTGTGAATATTTGCTTCACTGTTTTATATAATAACCAATTAATTAATTAGGGCCCGGCAAAGAGACAGTAGTCTCCTATGACCTTGACAAGGACTATTTTAACACTACTATTTAATTCTGAGATGCCATCTAAATGATCTTACCTTTGCAAAAAGACTTCAATATGCCCCATATTAAATTGTAAAAGGTACGATGGGCTAAAATAGAAAAAAAAAAATATATATATATATACACATACACATATACTACATGCATTTTTAGAAATTTTACATACATAAATACTGTTATGGGTTGAATTGTGTCCCCCTCGAAAAAGATATGTTGGGAGTCGTAACCTCCAGTGCGCCAGCATATGACCTTATTTGGAGATAGGGTCTTCTTTGTTCAATTGGGGTAGGGGTGGGCAGGAGCAGAGCAGCAACCTCTCACCCTGGAGACAGGGTCTTTACAAAGGTAATCAAGTTAAAGTGAGGTCATTAGTGTGAGTCCTAATCCAATATGACTGGTATCCTTGTGAAAAAGGGAAATGTGGACAGAGACATGCACACAGGGAGAACGCCATATGAACACGAAGGCGGAGATCAGACTGATGCATTTACAAGCCAAGGAACGTTGAGGATTGCCAGCAAACCACCAAAAGCTAGAGGAGAGGCATGGAACAGATCTCTCTCACAGCCCTTAGAAGGAGCCAATCCTGCCCATAACTTGACCTTGGACTTCTAGCCTCCAGAACTATGAGACAATAAATTTCTGTTATTTTAAGCTATGCAGTTTGTGGTACTTTGTTATGGCAGCCCTAGCAAACTAATATACATACCTAAGTCATTTTGGTGGCAGTGTGATTTAGAGTATAGCCTCTGGGGTCAGACAGAACTATGTTTAAATTCCACCTATCCCACTAACTAGTTGTATGATCTTGGGTGGTATCTTGTCTAAGCTTGTTATTTTCATCTGTAAAATGAGAGATTGCTCTGTTTCATAGGGTTATTATATAGATTTGATAATGCATATAAAGCTGTTAGCATAGTGTTTAATACATTGTGAACATGCAAGTGGTAGCCATTATTACAGTATTTACATACAAATATATCCCCAGGTATAGTCATACATAAATCTACAAATGGACACAAAGAAATATAACCAAGGCCTGCAAGACAAATACACAATCCTTATTATCATGGACCTTAAAGTATAAAAGGTGTTATGTTATAAAATTATATATTTATTTAAAAAATAATTTTGATAAACATTATGGGAAAAGAAAGACAAGGTCAAGGTCATTATAAGAGGAAGATTCAACCTAAATTGGGTGGTGAGAGAAGGCTTTCCTCAGAAAGTGACATTTAAGGATAAAGATGGTTCTAAGAAAATACAAAGGCCCTATAGTAGGAAACTTCAAGATATTTAAATAAGAAACCAAAAGGTCTGTTACTGGAGCACAGTAAACAAGAGGAAAGGTGGTAGGAGGTGAATCAAGGGACCAGATTATTCATAAGCTTGCCTCATGTGAAGGCATTTAGACTTTATTGTTTTTGGTTTTTTTTGGTGAGGAAGATTGGCCCTGAGCTAACATCTGTGCCCATCTTCCTCTATTTTGTATGTGGGACACCGCCACAGCATGGCTTGATGAGCAGTGCATAGGTCCGTGCCCAGGATTTGAACCTGCGAACCCTGGGACACCAAAGCAGAGCCCGTGAACTTAACCACTACGCCACTGGGCTGGCCCCTAGGCTTTATTCTTAGAGCAATAAGAACCCACAGAAGAGTTTTCATTAAGGGACTGCTACTCTTAAAGCTTCACTTTCTAGTGTGTTGAGAATGACTTGGATTAAAAGGGATTGAGAGTGGATATATAACTATCCACTCAGGATTATATCAGTAATCTAGTGAAAAGATGATGCTAATTTAGACTACCCCATGGTTAACTGGCCAGTTCCCTCCCTTATAGTCCAGAGTGGTCCCAACAGCTTCAAAACCAAGCCCAGTTTAACACTTTCTGACTCTGATCCTCATCATGCCCTTATGTGTGTTTCAACACTCCACCCTTTCACTACTTGACTAGTACTGGCTTTAACAGATTATAGGCAGTATTATTTAGAATAAAAATAGCTTCTGTTTATACTTCATTTAAAATGTATTACTACATTAATAAACACATTGGACCTTAGATAAATGAGTTTGATGATATTCCTTTTAGAATACATGAATAAACCAAATACTAACTCCTACCTTAAGACCATTGGAAGCTGATCAATACTGATGCCCTGTACAAATACTAGATACGCCAGAGAAGCCATAGAGTCTGCTAATTGTTTGTCTTCTTCTTCCTCGAATTCAAGATAATCCCAAGTCCTCTTTTTCCTTCCATGATTAAAAATCACTTTGGGGAAAGGATGTCCAATTGCTGATAAAAAACCCTGTGAAACAACAAAAAAGAAAGCTATAGCAGACCGATTCTAATGTGCCTTCCCCCACCCCATATTCACATCCTATATAATCCCCTCCCCTTGAGTGTGGGTGAGACCTGTGAGACTTGCTTCTCACCAACAGAATAAGGCAAGATGTTGCTCCCATAATTAGATTATGTTATAAGACAGAAGTGAGGGGATTTCTGCAGATGTAATTAAGGTCCCAAATAAGTGGATTTTGAGTTATTGAGAAAGGAGTCTATCCTGGGTGGGCCCGACTTAATCAGGTAGAAGGTTTTTAAGGATGATCCAGGCCCTCCTTGAGAGTCAGAAACTCAACCCTGCTGGCTTTGAAGAACTAAGCTGCCATGTTAGGAGAGGGCCTATGGAGAGGGCTAGGTGGCAAGGAACTACAGCCTGTAGGAGCTGAAAGTGGTCCCTAGCTGACAGCCAGCAAGACAATGGGAACCTCAATCCTATAGCTCCAAGGAGATAAATTTTGCCAACAACCTGAAGGAACTGAGTGGCAAGATGAAAAAGGTGTGGAGATGGACGGGGTGATGGTTGCACAACAATGTGAATGTACTTAATGCTACTGAACTGTACACTTAAAAATGGTAAATTTTATGTTATGTATATTTTATCACATTTAAAAAAAATGCTCCAGATATCTGAGATCAATCTAAAAATGTGCAACATAAAAGTAGTAGTAGTAAACTAACTACTCAGATGAAGAATACTCTAGGAAAATGCTCCATTGACCACTGTCTGCCTAGATACCAAGTGGGCAGAAGAAACACTGGTCAGGGGCATCAGAGGCTGAGGAAACTGCTGGTATCTCAGGTCATATGGGCTCTTGTGTCAAAAGAGAAAGAGAAGCATCCCCACGTGAGTGGAAAGGACTACAGTTTTATCTTTTTTTTTTTTTTAAGGAGAGAAGGAGAGAGAAAGACTCAGGAAATACAAGGTTGCTCCTATGCCTCTTATCCTATTTGACTCTAGTCAAATAGAAAGCACCTGACCTTCAGAATCCACTGGAACTGATCTGCGTTTTGGCTCTACCACTTACGAGCTGTGAGACAGTGGATGAGTTATCTAACCTCTCTAAAGCCTGTTTCCTTATCTAGAAAATGACATAATACCTATGTCAAATATTGAGAAGCTCCACAAAAAAAATATAAGAAAGTTAAGGTCACAACAATCTACTACAGAGAAGTCAAAAAGAATGACAAAAACAGCTAAATCAGAATGAATACTGAGCTTCCACATATTCACTCATTTCTTCAACAAATGCTTGAGTGCCAGGCACTGGGCCTGACATTGTGGGGAATTCTAAAGCCAAATAAGACTTTTCCAGCCTTTAGGGAGTTAAAATGTGCTGATCCCAGATGGCTCCATTAGTCATTTCAGAATACAAAAAGGAACCAGGGAAAATCATCCTCAGTCACAAGACTGCTATTCAGCTACCAGATGCTAAACATATACTGCTGTACTGATTTTCAAAGCCACACATACTTGTTACAGCTATAAGACGAAAAGTTTACTGTACTCAGATTCCAAATGTCCTCTTAATCCTGAAGCTGCATTTCTTCATTCAGCCAATGCTACATGTGTTTTTTCCCACAGTAAAGTTAGCCGTTTAAAGAATCATCACATGTAACCAGATTCTATAGTGCTGCTCTGGGTATCTGGGGTCCACCTGTGTCCAAATTAGGGCCTTCACTATCTATCCACACACCATCTTGCTCAGACCTGTGACGTACCTGCCACTCTACAATTTCTCGTGGTAGCCTCTGCCCTTTCAGGAACGTTCCTATCCTGCAGCCCTTGGGACATTCAAGCATTTCTAAACCAAAATAACTTGTGCCAAAAGAGGGATGGCTGAGGCCATCAATCTCAAGCATGCCACACTTACCTATGCTTCTCCAGCATAAAACAGAAGGAACCTCCCCACTCCATCCCCTACCCTAATTTCACTTCTACTTCTTGACTGCTTTGTACTTCCTCACTGCTGGCTCTTTCTACTTGTAATGCTCCTTCCACTGAGATCCTAGAACCTTTCCCCTACATCCTCAACCTCTTCATAGATGCTTGCTCTTTCTCACTGCTGTAATTGAACCTGACTGATTTCTGGTGGGAGCTGCTCATACTCTCACATCTCTTACACTGCACAGCCAGGAAGGCAGCAGTGGGGAAGGGTAGTATGGGGATAGGCCTTGGTTCTTCCTGCACTCGCAAGCAAAAGCACATTTTCCTTTGAGTCAGATACCATACTGCCCTTTATCTGTCCTTATCTCTGTCATATGCTGACTTCCTGGTTATTTCCCCACATTCACTGAAGACTTTGGTACCTGCTCATAATCTTTTTCTCTATCTAACTCCTGCTATGATCCTGGGAAAGTTCAATGTTCATGTAGACAACTAATTCCTCTAACAGGCCATCCTCAAGGTTCTTGGTTTCCAATTCTAGTGCCTTAATTTCTGATCTATTTCAGCAACTAATCCCATCCTGGATCTCTGTCAACATTTGGAGTTATTCCATATTAGATAACTAAACTCCAACATTCATTTTCTGACTGCAACTTCTTATCCTACCTCACCTACCAATCTGCTTTTCTATCTCTGACTTCTCCAGTCCTGTGACCCCTTCATTTTAACCCACCCATCTGTCCTCCGCAAATCCCCTTCTTTCCCTATCCAACCAACACGCTATTGGCCATTTGAACTATCTGTACTCTATATCTACCCAATAAAATGCCAGCCTTGAAAAAATAGCTATAATCCACCTTCTCTACTTCTACACCTAGGCAGCTGAGTACTGCTGGAGAAAAATCACACAAAATACAGACTGTTATCACTATAGTTGTGCTGTAGTGCTCAGCACTACTGACTAATGCTTTCATGGTCTTCCACCATCTCTCTTTCCTTTCTCCTCAGTATTCTAAACTTTTACCAGGTTCCTGAAGCCCCTTAATCAATCCCCATTTCTACCTTCTCATTCTTAAGAGATCTCCTTCACCTAGAAATCCAAGGCCAATGGATCTAATTTCCCTCAATTATAATATTCCCTTCCTACACAAATTTCTCTACATGCAAACCTATTCTTACCTTCTCCTCTCCAGATGTCTTCAATCTTATGCCCAGCTGTCTGCTCTCCTCGAGCCACATTATTTCAGTTATCCCATAACACTTCTCCTTTCCCCTCTAATGGTTCCCACCCCTTCAGCATATAAATACGCTCAAGCCTCCCCATCTCCCCCATTACCTTCCTACCGTAAACCCATGTCTTTTAGCTATTACCTCTCTTCTTCCTTACTCATCCCAACTCTTTTAAAGAATAGCTTATCCTTTTTCTCATTTTTCATGTACTCCTTTATCGACTCCACTGATTTTTGTCTCTAACACTCAACTCAAACTGTTCTTGCTAAGATTATCAATGCCATCTTACTTCCTGAATCCAATGGGTTCTTTTCAACTGTGACTTTACAGGCACTCTCTGCTGTATTCAACAGTACCAATCACTTCTTTCTTCCTGAAATTCTACTACCCCAGTATTTCTACCACGTCTTTGACTCTTTTTTTCTTGGTCTCTTTTGGTGCGCTCATTTTAAGTGCTAGTATCCTATAGGGTTCAGTCCTGAGCCCTTTTCTCTTCTCACATTGATCTACCTTTAGGGATCTCATCCACCCTTATTCAAAATTTGCTCCTTTAAAACTTGCTTTCTCTGGATATTAGAAATATAAGAAATTTTTGTAATCTTGTTAGGTGTCATAATGGCATTGTAGTTATGTTTTTTAAAAAGTCCTTACCAATTAGAGAAGCATACTTAAAGACTTATGGATAAAATGATTTATCTAGGACTTGCTATAAAATACTACAGCAAAAAAAGAGGGACGATAGATAAGACAAGACTGGCAAAACGTCAGTAATTGTTAAAGCTGAGGGATGGGTACATGAGGGTATGTTACATTGTTCTACTTTTCGGAATGTTTTTAAATTTCCATAATAAAAAAATTTTTTTTAAGCACAAAACCCCCTGCTCCTTGCTCTGTATTTTCCATCTCAATTATTGGCACCTTCCTCTGCCTAGTCACCCAAGCAAAAAACATCATCCATGACTCAACCTTTTTACTATTTTTCTAAATCCAACCCATGACCAAATTTTGCCAGTTTTACTTACTATAAAGTTCTCAAGTCAGCCCTCTCCTCTTCATCTCCACCACCATTTCCATACTCAGGTTCTCATCATTCTCACTTAACTCCCAAAAGACATCTAACCGGTCTCCCTACTTCCAATCTTACCTCGGTTAAATTCATCCTCCATTAAAGTGACGAATCCAAAACACAGTTTGATTATATCTCACTCCCAGGCTTAAAATTCTTTAACAGTTTCTAACTTTCATACCCATCTTCTCAAAATAGGATACATATATCATATCTGATGGTGTTTATACTATATCCAGGGGATTATACTGTACTCTAGAATTAGCAACAATGAAGAGGCCCCAGACTCTTATGTGCTCCTGGGAAAACTATGTATCCCTATTTATATCAGTCACCAAATCATCTCTCATCATCAGAATCTAGTTCCCCTAAAGTTCTGGCATCTCCTTTTCTAACCCCTTTTCCTATCCCTCCTCAAATTGACATACCTTTCAATCATGGCCTTGGGAACTCATGGTCATCAGCAAAATCCATTCTTCTCTAAATGGTCTCTTACATCTTTTGCTCTAAGTGAAATCTGGTTATCCTCTGAAAATAACTGTTTTCTCTGCAACCTTCTCTAAGGGTTGCTATTTTTTTACCCGTATCCATTCTACTACTGAGCCTGTAAATGAAATATCTGGTCTCCTTGCTACTTCTAGACCATTCTCCTCCCTCCTCTCTACAATCCCTCAGCTTTGAAACTCATTTCATGTGACTATACCACCTCTACCCCTCCTTGCTACAGTCATTAGCAGACCCCAAGGTCACTCCATTAATTGGCTTTCTGATATTACTCTTACCATAATTCTGTGTGACTTAAATGTACAACCAGAAATATTCTAATACCCTGGAATTTCAGGTGCTTTACTTTGTCTAGTCCAGGGAGCTCAGGCTCCACTCTCTCCTTAGAACACACTCCCATGGTCATACCCCAGACATGGTCATTAGTAACAGTAACTTTTCCATAATATTAATTTCAAGCATTCTTTTCTTTAACTTCTGATCTTTTTGGCTCACTCCTTTTAGTAACCTAACTCCAACAACTTGCCAACCACACCAGGACCTACAATCTAGTGATCCCATCATCTTTTCACTCGCTCGCGTGTAATATGTCCTAACTTGCATACTTACTGAGCTTAAATTCCAATGCCCATCATTAGTCACTCCCCTGCATAATGCTCAATGCTCTTCTTGCCCCTCTGGCTTTGTAGAGCTCACACAGTTCTCAAAACCCCAACCTAATTAAATCCAACTTTTCTCCTATGCTGCACCTACATTTGTGCAGCTGAACATGGCTGAAGAAAACCCACAGTCACAATAACAGCTCTAACTAGAAATTCATGACTATCATCTCAAGTACATATTTTTCTATATTTCAGATTTGTTCCCTAATATAGAATCCCAGCACATTTTAAAATACTCGTGATGCATAAAGTCAAATTGCTCTTAAGATAAAATTTACTTATTTCTGGAGTTATTTTGAAAATTTTACCATGAGCCTTAAAAGTGAAAATATCCTTTGGCCTAGAAATCGCACTTCTAGGAATTTATTTTAAGGAAATAATTAAAGAAATATGCAAAGATTTGGTTAAAAGGATACTTATCATAAAAGAAAGCTGGAGTTATTTTATAGAAATGAAAAATTAGAAAAAAATCTAAATGTCGAACTACATGGCCCACGTTAAATATATTACACTAAGTCCATACCATGGACTACTATTCAGCCAATGGAAAAAATTCATAATATACTAAGAGAAACAAAACAGATTACAAAAGAATACGTATAATATGATAGAATCTTTGAAAAAAAATGTATCTATTTATGACTATAAAAGTGGAAAAAAGTCTGGAAGGTACTGTGAGATAACAGAAAATATATATATTGGTCTCTGCATCCAGTTCCTGGCACAGAGCCCCTGAAATTCTTACAATTTCCTAAGTGATAAGAACACTAGGAGCATCTCTTATTCAAGTATTTGTCTTTGACCTGTTCCTGACACAGGTTACCTAAAACCTTTGTAAATTCTTAAGTGATAAGAACACTAGGAGCATCCTTTGTGCTACTAAGGTGACTCTGGTGGGCTCCTGGATGGGGGCTGGTCACCAGAAAGACCAAGCCATGATTAGAAGCTTGAAATTTCCAACCCCACTCCCCCTACTTCTCTACAGAGAGGACAGGGACTAGAAATGTAGCAATTATCATGCCTACTTGAGGAAGCCTCCATAAAGTCTCAATAGTATGGGGTTTGGAGAGCTTCCAGGCTGGTGAACATATCCACGTACCGGGAGGGTGATGCACTCAACTTCATGGGGACAGAAGCTCCTGCACTTGGGACCCTCTCAGACCTCGCCCTATGTATCTCTTCATCTGGCTGTTCATCTGTATCCTTTATCATATCCTTTAATAACCTGGTAAACATAAGTAAGTGTTTCCCTTGCTTATGTGAGCTGTTCTAGCAAATAATTGAATCCAAAGGGGGAGGAGGTCATAGGAATCTCCAATTTGTAGCCAAGTTAGACAGAAGTTGTGGGTAACCTGCGGATCTACCACTTGTGATTGGCATCTGAAGTGGAGGGCAGTCTTGTGGGACTGAGCCCTAAACCTGTGGGATCTGACTCCATCTCCAGGTAGATAGTGTCAGAATTGAGTTAAATTGTAGGACACACAGCTAGAGTTGCAGAATTGCTTGGTGTGGGAAAAAACCCCACATATTTGGTGACCAAAAGTGTCAGAAGTAAAGTGTTCTGTGTGAAAGTAAAAGAGAAAGACACAGGAGAAGAATTGTAGGTTTTTCAACACGGGTGTTAATATTATTTATATTTGGGTAATAAAATTATTGGTGTTTATTTTCCATCTTTTTGTTTATCTGTGGTCTACAAAAAATACATATTGCTTTATTAATAAATGTATCAATTTACATGCTCATGTGCAGTACATGAGAATACAGCAGGATAACATTTTAGATTATAGGAGATATTAAAGCAGATTAAATTAGCTGTACTTACTATTATTTCAGATGCAAAATACCTTAAAGGATCATTTCCAGCTTCTTCAGACTGCTCAAGGAATTGTGCTGTCAGCAAAGGGCATTTCAAACTTTTGAAACAACTAAGGTATAAGAAATGGGTAATTATGAATACAGCACTTCCTAAGTATAAAATACCTGTTCTATAAACATGTATATGTTAATTTTACATGAAAAATAACATAAACAACAAGAACTCAATGGACTGTAACACTGGTGATATAAGATCCTTCTTACTAGTAACGGGAGAGCATGAGAACAACTTGCTAGGCTGAGTGTAGTGAGATTCACTTCTATGTCTGGACTATACCAATGGATACTGAATGTTTGTCTGAGGACCAGTGCTAGTCTATATGTAGTTTTCATTAGTTCAAGGAAAAATTGGATCAATATAGTAGTTTTTTCATAAAGCTATATTTGTTTTATTTAGAAAATTTATTCTGTGATTAAGCCTTTCCTATACTTGTTAAAGTATCTTTTCTTTCATGAAATAATGGGTTTTATAAATGGTAAAAAAAAATTTTAATGTCCTAACCTGACAAAATAGAAAGCTAACAGTAGTTTTAGTCTCCAAAATTTTAAAAATAAAATTATTGGTCCAGGGGCCAGCCCGGTGGCATAATGGTTAAGTTCACATGTTGTGCTGCGGTGGCCCAGGGTTTGCAGGTTCGGATCCCGGGTGCATACCTACACCACTCATCATGCAATGCCATGGCAGCTACCCACATACAAAAATAGAGGAAGATTGGCATGGATGTTAGCTCAGGGCCAATCTTGCTAACCAAAAAAAAAAAAAAGAAAAAAGAAAAAAAATTATTGGTCCATGTAATTCAACACTCTAGTCCAACACTGTCCAATAGAAATATAATGCAAACTCCATATATAATTTAAAATTTTTTAGTAGTCACATTAGAAAAGTAGTAAGAAACAAGAGAAATTAAATTTTAATAATGTATCAACTCAATATTTCTAAAATATTATCATTTCAACGTATCAGTATAAAAATTGACACATTTTAGTTTTTTCTTTAATAACAAATCTTCAAAATCCAGGGAGTATTTTATACTTAGAGCACTTCTTAATTTGGACTAGCCTATGTCAAAGTGCTTGACAGCCATATCGAACAGTGTACGTTTAGTCTATAGTACCCTTGGCGCAAATGCTATTGGGTACTCTGCTACTGTTTTTGTGGTCAAGTTGGATGTTCAATTGTCTGCTGCTGCTTCTGCTGCTTTCAAAAGGAGAGTAGAAATACAATTCCCCCACAGAAAGACCAGATTCTTCGAGCTACACCTATCTATTTCCTCAACTTCTACTATTCACAGATTATGATGAGTAAAGGCAATTCATAGAAGAATATAAAGTAACTAAACAAATGGATTTTGGTTTTTAATTTTTAAAAATATCAATGCCTCATTAAATGCCCATGATATCAACTGAACCCTATATTCTTCTAAAATTCAAAATTTCAAACTAGATTTATATTTCCATTGCAAACAAAAAAAAAATAACCGATCTATTACTTAAGTATATTGTGAAATGTTCTTAAAAATATACTTACAATTTCAGTAATTCATCCTTTAACTTTTCATTTTCAAGTGAGTGTTCTTTGTCATCCATGACTTCTTCCACAAAAGGCTTAGTGAACTCTATTAAGGCCTTACAACACTGACAAAGGCCATAGTCATCTGTTTGTATTTGTTCTTTTGAGTATGGAACAGGAAGGACAGATAGCTGACTCCAAAGGGTAGACAATGCTAATCCAACTGAATATGCCTTGTTGTTATGAAGTTTCTGAATCACTAAAACAGAGACCAAGTTGTTACTTGAGGTAGACTCATCAAATATGCTAAACATGGGACAAGAAGTCTAGTAAATGTAGAATTATAACACATTTTTTTTCATATTTTAACAATTCTGAAATCAGGATGACATAACATAGCTTAATTAGCAGAGTGCAGAAAATAATGGACCTTTATACTAGAAGTGTACATTTACATGGCACTTTACAATAGATGCCATGAAATCTTGTTTAGGTATGTTTATGACAGGTTACATACTTAAGACAGAAACACTTCTCTCCACTATTTTTTGGTTGTTTTAAGTATAAAATAAGAGAAAGTGTCTTGTAAACTATAAAGCACTGTAAAAATGAGAGGTAGTATTATTAGATTTTTCTTTCTAGAAAACTTTGAATATTTCAAGTGGTACAAAGCTGCTGGGCATTCACATTTAAAACAAATTTACTCTAACTTCTGATTCTCGGTCCTTCTATCAGACTCTGAGTTATATGTAGGTCATAAAATGAAAAAGTAGCCTTTTCTTATGGAAAAATACCATTTGCCTTGGTTACCAAGGTCCATTACTTACCAATACTATTACTGCACTTAGCCAGGGAGCCTTTTCTTTCCACACTTGTTCATTCTTCCACAGTTACCTTTGCTATTCCCAATCCCCACCTCCCAGTGCAGAGGCTGAGCAATGCCCTGCCTGATACCGTTTTTAACCAAGATAAAGGACAACCACAAAGCTATCAGACTGAGTACTACAAACACCACAGAGGGAATCCTTTAAATATGTTTACAGGGAAAATTCTAACTATAAGTTGCAGATAGGAAGGTTAGGCAAAAAGCTATAGGTTATAACATAGCACACTGAAATCAGCATGACATTCAACAGAATATTACTGGGTACCCACTCTGTACCAGGTATTGTCATCTTTCTATGAGCAGGATTCAAACTGGCACTGCTATTACTAGTTTAAGCAGAGTATTCAATAACTAGTCATAAACTTTACTTTGGTATAGTGTTGACATTTTGGAGTAATATCACTTATACAGATAAAACAAGAAACACGTATATATGAAAATACTCATTACCTGTTTGTAATGGCTGAAGTAAAAGAAGGATAATTTGGGATATCTGTTTTCCAGAGGGCTCTTCAATCAGCTCAAGCAAACCCAACAATAATTCCTTTGGATTACATAACTATAAAAATATTCACAATTGAACCTGTTTAATATAAGTTTTATTTAAAGCCACATGATTACTATTTTTAAAAAAAGGCATATGCTGAGAAAATATAATTATTTTTGCTTAACAGTAAAACACCTCATACAATTTTTTTAAAAAAATACACTAGGAAAACATAGAATCTGTGATTGTCAAATCACTGTAAAACTATAAAGAAGCAACAAGTCAAAGGGTCTCTCAATGGACAACTACATGCTGGAGATTTAAATTCCTGGCTAAAAGAAGAGTTAGAGAAATAGGGGAAGGGAGAGCCTGATTACCAGAGCTGAGGTTTCCTTTGAGCTTTGCCTGTCTACTCCGAAGGCTGCCTTAGTTTCCCAGGGCTTCCAACATGTGGGACCTTTCCATGTATGCAGTGGTATGGAGATGAGCACAGAGTCTCTTCTGTCCTTCCTGAACAGATAAAATTTTGCATTGCCTTCTGACTGACTGGCTATATCTTATCACCTCATTTGCCTTGTTTTTTTAAAAGCTCTCATAGTTAATAACTAATATCTAGATGGAGTTCTCTCCTTCCAAGTATATATTTGTGTTTACTTGCACTGATCTGTAAGTAGCTTCTTATAATGTCCTTTTTCTCAGAATTTATCTTTCTTAACTATCATTTTGACTTATAACTCTATTAAACTTTTACGAAGAATCTCTTTTTAAGGTTGTTAGTCACAACTAATCTATTTCCTATTCCTATTTCCACTGTGATCACTTGCATTCTGGGTTTTTCATATTCTTTTAGGGAACATACCACAGAGGAAAGAGCAATGAGATTTGATTCTAGTTCCAATGTTGCCAAAAGATCACTGTGGCCTTGAACTACCTCTGTAAACCTTATTTCTACATCTATACAGTAAGCTACTTGTTAAAATAGAGCTTCTTAGGTCTCTCCTTGGAGATTCTGAATCTGTGTGTCTGAGATGAGGTTAGATAATTCTTATATCCAGAAAATTTGGGAAAACTGAAATGGACTTGCCCATCCAATCAATAAGGTTGGGCCTTTTCTCCAAAGAGTTCCCTCCTATATTTTCATGAACTAAAAAGCTTTCTCACCAAAAACAAGCATTAAACATTAAAGGGAATTATAAAATACTGCTGTGTATTATGACAAAGAGAACCTAGTTTTGTTCACTTACCTTTACTAATAAATCAAGCATCTGAAAATAGTATTTTCTTTTATCATCTTCCTTATCATTCCATAAAAGGCATCGAACAACAGGCCCAATAAGATTCCAGCCCATATTCTTGATGATGACCTATAAAAACATTTTCAGAGTAAAGCAAATACTGCCATCTATAGGACTCTCACAGTAAGCTTTCTTAACTTGGAGGAGCTTAGAATTTCCTCTAAAATAGGAAAGATGAGACCTATGACATCTCACCATTGACTTCCTAGAGCTGGCTGCTAACAGATACCAACATTTTAAAATAGTTTTTAATACTTTCACTGAGGAAAGGCAAATGGGCCTTTACTTTTAATCAGGTAAGCTGGTCTTTCCCAGGATTTAAATAGTTCTTTTATTTCCAACGAGAGAGTTAATTTGCTTAATATGAGCAAGTACTTAATTTTCATGGAGAATTTTGCTCCCCTGATTCATAAAGAAACCCAGCCAATGCTCATGAACCTTCTAAAGTTCCTTGGAGAATCTCTAAATATATTATAGTCATGTAATTTATGTAAAAGAGGGGATGTCACTTCATTAATTTTCTTTCATACATAAAAGTTGCTTCTACTTTCAAAGGTAGTTCAGAATGCTTACCACACAAGAAAAAGTTTATAATTAGTGATTCACATTCATTATCAAAACCACTGATTTTCAAAACTATCAACAATATTCTCCACTTCACTGGCCTGAATTCTACTTCAACTCCTTAGTAATTATCAAGTATATAATATATGTCAGGTCCCCAGAATATTCTAGGTGCTAGAAATAAAGCAAGGAACACAGATAAGATCTCTATCCTCACAGAGTTTACATTCTAGGTTCATTCATAGAAAAACACATCTAGGAAGAAGACAAATAGGTACAATACCCACTCTGTGACCCAGTCTTATAATAAACGTAGAGTATAAAGTATGGAAGGAGAATACTCACTCTCATCTAGGGAAAGCAAGAGAGGCTTCCCAGAAGAGGTGATGGCTAAGCTAAGGCTTTTAAGAAAAACAGAGAAGTCTGTCAGGCATAGATAGGTGGGACATATATTCAAGGCTCTGAAACGACAATGTGTAAAGGTATACGACTTAACATGTCCTAGAGAACCAGCAACAGAATATGTTAGGGTATGTGAACACACAGTTCTTAAAAGAGGAAATACTATATGTTTACATCTCTGCTCATTTATCAACAGGACATTTTAGTGTTTGTCTTCTCAATCTGCATGACTTCCCTAGATGTTAATGTTACTTAGTTGTATTTATGACAAAAAATTATTTGGCTTTTTGGTTGTCCTTATTTTTTATAGAGCAAAAAATACTGATGTTTTTCTTTGGTCCCCCTTCTACTGCTTTCAGGTCTAAAACGGATTTCCCCCTTTAAAGATTTATAAACATTCATTTAAATTTTTAAAAAACATATATTTCACCTATTTTTTTGATTCAATAAGATTTATGCTAGAAACATGGCACAAAATGAAGACTAAAATGTGGTTTTTTTTTAAAACAAATAGCAAAACAATCATGCTTTTTTCCTAATGGGATAGATAGTTCAGTTGATCTCTCTGAATATTTTTTCCATACTAGTTATTTCTTCTGCCTGGCACACTCTTCTCCCAGATAGCCCCATAGTTTATACCCCTGCTTCCTTCAAATCTCTGTGCAATTTCACCCAGCACAGTCTATCCCCCTAACCATGATTTATTTTTCTCTATAGTATCTATCAATTTCTAATATACTATATAATTTATTTATCATGTATATATCGGTCTTCATTAGAATTTAAGATCCATATGGGCAGTGAGTTTTGTTCACAGGCCTATCTATTCCCAGCATCTATAGTAGGGCCTGTTACAAAATAGGTGTTCCGTAAATACAAGCTGAATGATGTCTACTACTTCTAAGCGTAACAAATTATCCTCCCTCCAAAGATTTGAGAGTCTGTTCTGTTTTCTTCTATTTTTTGTGTGGCTTGACTTTTAATATTTAGGTCTTTACTAATCAGGAATTTATGTTATGTGGTTATTAATTTTTTTCCAAATTACTAAATATTTATTCCATGATTACTTATTAAATAAGCCTATATTCGCTTTTTAAAACTTACTGTGAGACTCTACTTTTCCAACTAAGTACTTCTTTCCCTTTCCATAGGTCTACTTCTACCCTATAAATGATTCTCTGAGAATAATTAACTATAAGAGAAATTCTAGATTTGAATAAGATTTTGCATATTTGAGCTGAAAAAGAATTTTGATAAAATATTTTACAAATATAATCTCAGCTGCAAGGTACCCTCTCATTATTTAAATAGTGAATAGTCATGAGGAAGGGGAATAAACACTTACTATCCATCAGCTAAACCTTGTTTAGTTTAATACTTACAACCCTACAGGGGAAGACTGTTCTCCCCAGTTGACCGATGAGAATGCTGAAGTTTAGAGATTACCGAGATGCCCAATGTCCAACAAGTAAAATGTGGCAGAGCCCGGATTTGCATAGAAGCCTGTCCAGCTCCAAAGCCCATGCTTTTCCCACTACACCAGTGGTTTTCAGTGGGGGCAATTTTGTACCCAACCTACCAGGGGACATTTGGCAATGTCTGGAGACATTTTTGATTGTCATTACTGGGGGTGGGGAGGTATTGCTACAAAATATCAATAATGCCATCTTGAGAACCCTTGCACTATAGTATCTTAGGACAAACTACTATTCATATGGCTTTTTTAAAAAAACATTTAACACAAAGCAGATTAATAGGGCTGGCCCCATGGCATAGTGGTTAAGTTCGCTGCACTCTGCTTTGGCAGCCTGGGTCCATGGGTTCGGATCCCAGGCACAGACCTACACCACTCATCAGCCATGCTGAGGTGGCGACCCACATACAAAACAGAGGAAGATTGGCACAGATGTTAGCTCAGGGCTAATCTTCCTCAGGCAGCAAGAGGAAGATTGGAAAAGGATGTTAGTTCAGCACGAATCTTCCTCACCAAAAAAAGAAAAAAAAAAAGCATATTAATAGTAAATCTTAATTGTGTCACCTGGCAAGAAAATTAGGTTGCAGTCAGTTTTTGTTTCTTTTTGTTGTTGTTGCCGAGGAAGATCTGCCCTGAGCTAACATCCATGCCAATCTTCCTCTATTTTTTAGTATGTGGGCCGCCAGCACAGCATGGCCGCTAACAGAGTGGTGTAGGTCTGCACCCAGGAACCGAACCCGGGCAACCAAAGTGGAGCATGCTGAACTTAACCACTTCGCCGCCGGGGCTGGACCAAGGTTGCAGTCAGTTTTAAACACTGTCTTATCAATTTTTGAACCTTTGAATTTAGCAGACCACACGTTACAAAGGTAATTCTCAAGCTATTAAGACTAAGCTTCACTATCCTTAAATCTATCACAATCATCTAATCTCTAATAATCATGCACAAATCTACATCTTAATCTCCTATTTCCCTTCTGGGCTCCAAACATTACTTTTTAACTGCCTGCTGCCTCTTAAACTCAATATTTCCAAAATACACTTATTTGTCCTCCTTCAGGAAACTTGCTCTTCTTCTTAGGTTGCCTTTTTCTGTTCGGTACACAATATATTATCCTCTCAGAGGCTAGAAACCCAGTCATCTTTGATGCCTCACTCTGTCTCACCCCACAATCAACTAGTTCCCTCTGTTCTACTCTAAAACTTCCCTGCGAGTGCTACACGGACGAGAGGCAGAACAGAATGGTTACGAGCTTTGAAACCAGCCTTCGTAGGTCTGAATCCTGGATGTCACATAAAAGCTGAGTTACTTTTGGGCAAGTCACTTATCTTTCAGTGACTGTTTCCTTATCGACAAAATGAATTTAATAGTAGTACCTATCTTATGGGATTCTGGAAAGGCTAAATGACCTAACACATGTAAAGCACTTAAGACAGCATCTGGCACATAGTAAATACTCAATAAATATTAGCTATTATTAATTTTATTATTATTAGCTAAAAGTAAGGTACTCTCAAAGGTTATCCTCTGAGAACACAATTGGGAAAAATTAAGGAGTTAAAGAAAATATTAAATTTACTTTATTTTGGGCTACAAAGGTACCATAAACACATATCAAAAACAAATGTATTAAATAAAATGTTCTATTTTTTCAAAAATTTTTTTAATTTTTAAAATCTTTTTTAAATAAAAAAGAGATAAGCTCTTTGAACTATTGACTAAAAGATTCTACAACAATGTGTGATTCAAAAGTTTTAGGAACCTCCCAAATACAATCAAGGAGCCCTAGATATAATCACGGGCCAGCATGACCAGATTGTGGTATCAACAAAAAAAACTCCTGTATAAATAAATAATACTATAAATGAAGAAAGAGTATGTTCCTGGAAAGAAGATGATCTTCCCTTGTATAAGAAGGGGAGTCCAAAGACACAAAATTTGGCAGTATTGCCAACACTGTGTCCTAGCTGTTCCTGATCCCAAAAAGATCCTTTCCCATTGTGGAGAATGACTTCTCAGACAATCATAGCTGGACGATAATGGCTAGTAAGGTCATCCAGCTCTCCCCATATTCTGATTCTAGGCACCTAATACTTAATATTTGGTTTTCTATATTCATCTGGCTGGAGGAAGAGAATGTGCTGATCACCAAAAATGAGTATCTAGCCTGCCTGATACTTATATTTCTCAATGTAAATTAATGATTCAAATGCCACTTTTGATCCCCAAACCAGAAGTAATCCCTCTTCTTCTAAAGCACTTTACTTATATTTCAACTATAGCACTTACTCTGGAGAGGCTAAATGAGTTAACAGACATAAAGCATCTGTTTATTCTGCCTCCTTCTTCCTAGCTGTTTACATGTTTATCTCTTCCACCAGAGTGTAAGTACCTTAAAGCATATGAATAGTCCTAATTCCTTTTTTGTTTCCCACAGTTTCCTACTGTGGAAATTTAAGTTGATTCTTAAATGTTTGATGAAAAAAATGAATGGATGAATAATAGTATCATGTGGCTATTCTCTCCTAGTAAAGACTGAAAAGTACACACAAAGATTGTACTTACCTTATTCTTTTCATTTTGAATAATTTCTAATAGCTGGTCTATGTGCCCTTCATCTAAGCATCTTTGGCCTGCTAACTGAAATAGGCCAAAATCTTCTTCTTTAAAGTCTTGCTCATCTAGGATTTGCTAACAAAAACAAAATAAACAAAAATCAAACATGTTGAGGTAAATAAAAATCCAATAACTACCTGATTTATTTAACTCTCTGAAAAAAGGAAATCTGTTTAAATTCTAGATAAGTTGCACACAAGCATATGTATGAAAATTAGAATTAGCCTAATAAATATTTTAATGAATGATCTTGAAATCCATTGTACCAAAGAAATCTATGGTAAGGATCAGCATCAACAATTTAAAAGGTTATTTAGACAAGTATGTCACTTAGAGAAATAATCCAATCTGCCTTCCTGCCCTCATGCTATTTTTTCACAGGTCAAAAGAAGCAAGGATTAAAGAAGATTAACGATTTGAGTGATTGCAAATGTTAATAAAAATAATCTGTACCCTTCCCATATTTTGAAAGGTATTTTAACTTTACAAAAAGAAAAAATTACTTACACATCTCTTTATTATAGATTGAAGTTCCTCCACAGCCATTCCTGTTTTTCCTAGTTTTGAGGCTGAAATGTACTAATATAAAACACACTGTTAACTATAAGTGATATTACACTGAAGTATTAATAAGTTATGTTTCATTCTTATGAATTATTAGTAAATACAATAAAGAAAATGGAAACTTGTAAAGCTGAAATGCTTTTACTGAAAGTTAGTATGTTAACCCAAGAAAATAAAAATGTATTTTAAAAAAAATTCCTGTTGCATCTTTTAACTTTTCTAGAGCATAGTTTTGAAAGATAGACTTTAAAAAAAATCGTCTAGACACTCTCAAGAAGCAACACAAATATGCACTATATAAATGACTTTAAAAAGAAAAAGTATTTCTTTTCCGAAAAAATCTCCGAAAGGTGGGCCTGAAATCAGTAGGGAATTTTTTATGTTTTAATGTCCCGCCAATGCAACAAAACTCACCCAGAGAGGGTGCAAGTTCAGACGCCCTCCACCCCAAGCGTGACCGAGACATTTCTCTATAAGAGATGCACTCCCCAAAATAATCAATCCAGTCAGTGAAATCACTATATCGCACGGAGACGAGGCAACCGGCGGCCCTCAGGACAACACCGTTCCGTTGCCACCGGCCATCGTTTCTCCCGGCAGGAAGGCCGAGCCCCAGGCCCGCAGTGGGGTCGCGGGTCGGCGGGGTCCTCACGGCTGCGCGCTCCAGGGCGGATGAAAGGCCAGCGCGCGTGCGGGCGGCATCCAAGGGAAGCCATTTCTCCCGATTCCTGCTCGCCTTGACGTTCGGGCCCCACCACTTCGCAGGGCCTAGTCGGTCCGCGGCCCCGAGTCCTGCGCGGCTGACGGCCCCCGGCGAGCCCCGAGCCCCCAGCACTCCCGGAGCGCCCACTTACCGGCCAGCCCTCCCGCCCCTCTCAGCCGCCTCCTCCACCTCCGGGGGCCGCGCAGGTCGCTCTCCGGGCCCCGCCCCGCCGCGGCCGGCCCCGCCCCGCGCTGCGCGAGGGAGGCGGAGCCTCGGGAGAAGACGCCGAGGCGGGGCCCGACCCTGTGAGGACGCGTCCCATGGCTGAGCCGGCCAGGCTGCCCTCGGCCCGCCCCAAGGCTCGGGGTCCCCGCGCCTCCCGAAACGCCGCAGGTAGGAAGAAGGGCCTCTTCCCACGTTTGGACCCTGAGAACTGAGCCCCGACAGAGTTCCAGACCAGGCGCGCGGGGCGCTCCCGAAAGGCTGCGCCGGGGGAGGTAGTCTTCGGGGCAGAGAAGGCCGAGAGCTTCTCACCGCCGTCCTCGCGCGTTCTGGGGAAGACCTCCGGCCGCCTCCACCTCTTTCCACTAGTATTCCACGATTTTCCCCAGAAGGGCTGTGCTCCAGTCTCTGAGGGAAAGGGCAGTAGAGATCCTGGGAGCCTGGAGTCGCCAGAGTGAGCAAGTGACCATGGCAGCGTCAGCGGGCAGTGCGCAGCTGGCCTTGAACCTAGCACTGGTCCTCCTTCCAGATGTCCTGCTGATCTGGTGCTCCGGTTCTCTGAGGTGTCATACTCCTCCCTTTCCCTGGGAGCGAACATTTGGGGGATGGAGAGAGGTTGCCCATAAAAGGAGCCAGATCTCAGATTTGCAGGAGTGCCTAACTATGCAACTGTGTTTCAAGACAAAATTCAATCCCGAAAGAGGTACATTTTAACCAAAAATTCGGGAATAACTAATTAATTTACAAAAACAAATTGGATCCCTTCCCATTTCATTTGATTTACACACAGGATTGGAAATGAAATGTGTGGAAAAGAAAAAAAAAATGGTCTACAGTATATTTGGGCAGGAATCTGTCCTGTAACCTAGTGTGTTTGTGTATACTTGACCTACTGATTTTGGGGTTTTTTAATCGTAGGTACTAAACAGACAAGTGCCTTGCAACAAGAGGATGCCTCCAAAAGGTATGAGAACTACTTGGACAACTGCATTCTCTTATCTGTTTATCTTATATTATTTGAACCATTTTTAAAAACAATAATGGGTGCTACCCTTGAGAAAATTCTTATGAGAGAGAAGGGGAATATCTGGGAAGCACTATAGTTCTCACACAGACTGTTACATCCCCGTACTCCGTGCTTTAAGAAAACCAAATCAGACACTTGTAGATCACTGGTGAAGGTACGAGTGTCTGTAGAAAGGTGTCTATGGGAATAAACAGTCCTGAATTAACCAGGTACTCCTTTTCCACCTCTCCAGATACTTTCTACTTTCTTTGTATGCCAGAGACACCAAGAAACCTTTTCTGTTGTTTGTTTACATCATGTCCATATTTTCAGCAAAAAGTTGTCCTGTGCTGGTCTCTTGGCTTCTCCTAAAAAGGCAAGATTTATATCCTGTCACAAAGGGTTTCTGGAATAGGAATAGTCTATGAGGATGATTAAGTAATATATATCTATGATTTCTCATTTTGTGAAGTATTGGCTTTGACCTTAATTTACTCATTCTTTCAAAAATTATTTACTGAGTCTAAGATAGACTAGACCTGTGTTAGGCCCTGAGGATATGGTTTTTTTTTTTTGTGTGTGTGTGTGTGTGTGTGTGTGAGGAAGATCAGCCCTGAGCTAACATCCATGCTAATCCTCCTCTTTTTGCTGAGGAAGACCAGCTCTGAGCTAACATCTATTGCCAATCCTCCTCCTTTTTTTTTCCCCAAAGCCCCAGTAGATAGTTGTACGTCATAGTTGCACGTGCTTCTGGTTGCTGTATGTGGGACGAGGCCTCAGCATGGCCGGAGAAGCGGTGTGTCGGTGCACGCCTGGGATCTGGACCTGGGCCGCCAGCAGCGGAGCGTGCGCACTTAACCGCTAAGCCACAGGGCCGGCCCCGAGGATATGGTTTTGAACAGAATAAACACAGTCCTGTCTAGTGGAACAGAGAAATACCTATTAAATTATCACAAATAAATACATAATTATAAATTGTGATAAATGCTATAAAGGAAAAGACTCTGATGTGATGAGGAGGAACTAATAATGAGTCCAGTTTAGTTGGAGTTTGACAGAGAGGATGGCAAGTTTTCAGGGAAAGGCTTCTCTGAGAAAGTAATAATTAAGCTGAGACCTGAAGGCTAAGTAGGCATTAACCAGACAGAGAATAGTGAGGAGAGACCTCCAGCCAGAGGTGGCAGTATAAGTGACAAGAAAAAGCTTGGACGTTTAAAGAAAGGAGAGATGCCCAGGGTAGTGTGCAGTGTTCTGAGCAAGGGAAGAAAGCATAGGAAAAGGTTAGAGAGGCAGGGTTCCATTCTTACAGTACCTGGTAGGCCATGGTGAGAAACTTAGATTTTCTAAGTGCAAATGGGAAAACTTTAAGTAATAAAGCGTTAGAATTTAAAAAGTTTTAGGATGTTAGGGATGATGATCATCTGGAACTGGAGAAATTGGGTACATTTGAGATCTGCATTTGGAGAGGATTTCCCTGTGGAGCAGCATGATTATCCTGACTTGGTTTTAGGAAGTATTGCAAGAGTAAAGTTTAGTTAATATTCATAATGACTGTAATTTGCAGCTCTCGTCAACACTGATCTGACCACAAACCTAAATAGATTATATTTTATTCTGAGCACTACAATGCCAGGAACATAGATAAGCTAAAATGTATTTTGAGCAGATCCTCCAGGATGATGAAACAATTAAAATCCCTGGAGGTAACCAAATAGTTGTTGAGGGGAGGGATCCTTTATAAATTTAGTCCAACTGAAAAATACTTCTACATTCAATCCAAGTGAATACTATTAAGCCAGAAATTAAAGAACTTTGCAAAAATATAAAACAATTCTACACACTAAATTTTTTATTTAAAAGATATATTAGGGCCGGCCCTGTGGCTTGGTGGTTAAGTGCGCGCGCTGCGATGCTGGCGGCCCGGGTTCGGATCCCGGGTGCGCATCGAGGCACCACTTTTCTGTCCATCCTGGGGCCGAGTCCCACATGCAACAACTGGAAGGGTGTGCGGCTGTGACATACAACTATCTACTGGGGCTTTGGGGGCAAAAAATAAATAAAATCTTTAAAAGATATATTAACATGTAACAGGTATATTATTATTAAATGAACAAATAAATGCTTTAAAATTTTCTCACTTTCAATCTTAATATGGTAAATATCAACAGATACAATCTACGTAAGCAAAAGCTCTATAAAGGAGCGCTGAGACAAAAAAGTTTGAGAACCGCTGCTGTGCACCACACTCCCTGTCATCATTTGGGCCAGAGGGCAGCAGTAAGACAGGGCTGTTCAGGGGAAGCAGCTGTAGGTATTCATCAGTTAAGAGGAGTGTGGTGGTTACTACAGGCTGAGGTAGTTAACAGCTTAAGTCAGCAATTCCTAATGCAAATTGTGTACGGATCTTAGTACATTACGTAGCTTTTGTTGGTAGGCGCAAAATGAGAAAAATAAAATAACGTTTTTCATAAAGCTAAATGTATTCACTATAAAGAACTGCCTATTAATCTGAGTTCATGTCTTTTTTACTTCCATGATGTAAGAGTGGCCTTTATGAAATGGTGGGAAAACAGGTGTTAGTTGTAGATTTCTTCTAGTTTTAATGTCTCTATTTGTCCCTAGTTGACAATCCTGTGTCAGTCCTCCAAATTGTTTTTTTAAAACATATTGCTCCAGGCAGGGAATTAGAGTTTAAAGTCTTGGGAGTCAATGAAGGTGGGAAAAATGGTGAGTATATTCTAGGTCCAGATATGAGAGCCAAGTCAAGGTCCTGGAGGCCAGCAAAGGTTGTTCTGGTAGGCAAGTAGAAACCAATACAGGAAAGGAGCAAATAAGTCACCAAGATACTTGGTATCTTTGGTCCTATGGCAGTGATGCTCAGCCCTGTTGCACCCTAAGATTATCTGTAGCACTTTAAAACACCAGTAACCAGGCCCCATCCTCAGAGATTCTGATTTAATTAGCCTGCGGTGGGTCCTGGGCATCTTCTTTTAAAGTCTCATCGGATAATCCTAATGTGCACCTAGAATTGAGAACCACTGTCCTAGGGCCATTGTTTGATCAGATAGCCTCTGCTTTTATGTTCCATGTGTATGGGGCCCGCA